CCCTTACTAAACCCTACTGGGAGATGTTCTCGAGTGAGCACAAAAAATCAAGTTCCTAGAGTAACAGCCAGTAGAACTCGCCCCATCACAAGCACAGTTGAATTGGTTGACACAAGCTGAAGGGATAAAATGGTCTCATCAGCCCTTAGGGAAATTAAAATGTCCGATTGCCAGAAATTGTAAATTTGGTTGTGTTGCTTTATCTGGTTGATTTAATTGAGAAGCTTTCGTCGTCCCACCCCCCTTCTAAACAACATCGACTCAGGGCAGGTTTTACTACAAAATGAACTTATTTGAATTCCTTCTCAAGGAACTATGATATAAGTGTATCTCCTGGCAACCATTGCTGTGACTCGTAAATTGTTAATTTACATATCTATTGACTTGGAATTCGAACTGTCTTGTCATGTAGTAAGGTATTTTGTATTTCCCAATGAATGAAAAACAAAACGATATTGTTGGATTTGAGAAGTGTGTAAAATTATGAAACAGCATGTGTTGATCTAATGTAATTGCTTTTCACTTTCGTGTTGATTTTGCCACTTCATGAGGGAGGGCGGTGTTGTAACCAGGTCAGATTCTGTTTTAGTCTATCATTCCTATCTGCACTTGGTTTTGTTATCTTTTACGGGTTGATCACGGATTGATATCAGTTAGAGAACCATTGAAAACCAGGGAGTACTGGACAGCTGCTGTTTCATCCTAGTTTGGGAATCATCGTCAGTACGCACCCACTGGGATTCGAACCCGGGACCTTCCGGTTACAAGGACAAGCTCGTATGCCATACAGCCACTGGGACCCGATACCTCAATGGCTCGTGAATTCTAACTTCTACTAATTCGTGATTTACCCCGACCCCAACCATTGTCGTTGGTGGGACATCCATCCACACACGTGACATCTAATTGGACCTCACTGGTCACGACTTCCCACTAGAACTCAGGAAACTCCAACCTGTAGCAAGTCACTAGCGAGCATCAGATTAACTTTCTATAGTTTTGGTTTGTAAGGGTTAGTTATGTTTTACGAGTTGATCACGGATTGATATCAGTTAGAGAACCATTGAAAACCAGGGAGTACTGGATTTTAAGGGTTGATCACGGATTGATATCAGTTAGAGAACCATTGAAAACCAGGGAGTACTGGACAGCTGCTGTTGGGGTCGCGCTAAATCACGAATTAGTAGAAGTTAGAATTCACGAGCCATTGAATCGGGTCCCAGTGGCTGAATGGTATACGAGCTTGCCTTGTAACCGGAAGGTCCGGGGTTCGAATCCCAGTGGGTGCGTACTGACGATGATTCCCAAACTAGGATGAAACAGCAGCTGTCCAGTACTCCCTGGTTTTCAATGGTTCTCTAACTGATATCAATCCGTGATCAACCCGTAAAACATAACTAATCCTTACAAACCAAACTATGGAAAGTTTGTTATCTTTACCAATTGGCCAACTTGACAACAAAAAATGACCCCATATTGACGAACGATGATCAAGTTAGTAAACTGTGTTTTGATACCATAGCAGATGTGCTATTGCTTTTGTTATTCGGTTAAGTGATCTTCATTGTTATTTTGATATTCAGTATATCCTTTTGACGTGACCTAAGTGGTGTATTTTCTCACCTCTTAACTCTTTGTTATGTATATATATATATGCTGAGATTTTGTAAATTCTGGTTTAATAATGGTTTGATAAAGCTATTAGTATTGGATAGCGAAACGTCAGTCGAACACAACAATATCGTTTTGTTTTTCATTCATTGAGAAATATAGAAAACCTTGATTATATTCAATATCATATACCCAATGCCCAAATTTTTTCAAACTGGCAAAAGTGAACTTTGTTTGGACATATATTTCTTGTCATGTGGTGATTTACACTTTATTAATTAGTAAATTCCGTCTACGTGTGTCGGTGGCACAGCGGTTAAGATGCTCTCCGACGATGCATATGGTCCGGGGTTTGATCCCCGGCCACTGGACGCACTCCTTTACCTCGCTAAGCTAAAAAAATGCTGGTAAAGATGAAAAGGTTGGGCATGAGGCTGGCTAAAAACCCCATCCTGCAAAATTGAAAACACTGCTACAGTAACTTCAAGCCACTAATTTTTAGGCCATATGTTCCCCTAAGAACATGAAGGAAATTTAAAAAAATTTAGCCTTTAGTAATTAGTGTGTTTGTTAATCACTGGTTGATTCACTTTGAGTACCAGGCTTCTAGGAATGATAGCATTACTATTTAGTGCTTCCTCTATTTAAAATGTCTTCACTAGGCCAACTGTCTAATTGGTATCCGTAATTATCTACATACATCTATATGAAAGAATATACGTGTCATACCATTTTACAGCTGATTTAGGTTCTTGGAATCGGATTCAAAGAGAAATGTTTATTGGTAGTTTACGTAGGCAATCTATTTTATAAATGGTATTAATTTTATCCTCTTTTTATGCTGGGTGGGTCTTTTGGTTTGCACAATATCAAATGAAGTGTTCTGATGGCTGTCTGGCTGGTTTGTGCACTTTACCTACTTCAAACAGTCTCAATATTCTGGCTGTTATTTCAGAGATATTTTTGTATATATGATAGAATGAATTTTTTCTTGTGGTCTTCGATGATGGTTTCTTGTCGGGGTGTTGTGCCTTGAGTTCAAACATTTTTTTGATGAAATTCTGTGGAAGAGATTTGCATTCTTTTTGAGAACGATTAGTAAGTATTTTCCCTCCATTCTCTTCAACACCGAAGAAATGCTACAGTGTGTGTGTGTGTGAATGCGCGCCAGAAATCGTCTCAATAAGATTATCACGGTAGTAAAGAAAAGAGAAATATACACTCCAGTTACTTTTGTAGTATTCATACACATTCCTGCTAAATTTATGACTTTAGCACACTAAAATAAACGACTTTTCAGACGTTGGGGAATCATTTTTGAAGACTGGAAAAAATGCATTCTTCCGCTTACATACAAAACTACCCAGCGAAAATCATTATCCCGTAAATTATTTTGTTTTCCTCATGTTTATATCAACCTTGAGAGAAGTTGATAACTCTTTAATGATAATGCCATTTATTACACAGTTTTTTCTTAAAGACTTGTTTACGCTTTCTTTTGCTATGCTCTCATTCTCCAAAAAAGGGGGAGAACAAATTAAATAGAATTTGATGATCAACTGGCTAAGTGATCACAGTTATCGTTACTCAACATCTTTATAAAGTCAAACATAAACAAAATGAGGATAATAATAATGATAAAAGTAGCAACAATAATATCAACAAAATGAGTAAACACACAGGTGAAACGTTGGGCAGTAATTTGTTAATGACACTTTAATTTATCACCAAAAATAAGCATCTTATCGATTGTATAATTTAGCAGACCAAATCAGCTGAATAGACAGACCATCACCTACAGCTCGCCCAGAAATCTCGAATGAATCTTGAATGTTGTCAAGTTGCTAAAATCCAAGAAGGCAGGAGGAGCAGACGGAATTCTTCCTCTCCACCCCCTGAAACTATGAAAACGGACCCAGAGACAGCAGCATGTGTGTTGACGCCGTAATTACCAAAGATATGAAAGGAAGGAAAGGTGCTTACTGCATGGAAGAAAGGCTGGTGGTCTTGTCAAGCTGTCAACACAAGGGCGACCTATGCTTCTGCAACAACTGGCTTGGAACAATGCTCTTGTCCACGTCAATTTAAATACTAAGGTCTCGTCATCCGGAAAAGAATAAAAGATTCACTGGATGCAGAACTCTGTCAGCTCACCGAAATAAGCCGGATTTAGGAAAGGCAAATCATGTGTTGATCACACATTGCAGCTCTACGCATCATCGTCATCACAGAACAAAGTATGGAATGGTAGTCAACTCTCACACTCTGCTTCAACTTCCTTTATCGACTTCGAAAAGGTTTTCGACAGACAGCGTTGACCACGAAATAATTTGGAAAATATTTCAGCACTAGGGTGTGCTGTGTCAACGCCTGTCGAGTGTCATGTGATCCAAAAAGGGAAACTCAGTGAACCCTGGCTTTGAAATGAATGCAAGAGTAAGACAATGCTGGTTGACTGTTATCACCCTTAATGATATTCCTCGTTGTGGTGGACTGGATTTTGCGTCAGACTATGGCCTTTGAAACTTGTGTTTTATAGTTTTCTTTGTCCTCTCCTATTCGTCGTCGTAGGGGTAGTAGAATTTTCCAGATATCTGGGAAAAGTGGCATTCAAACCCACAAACTCAATTAGAATCAAGCTTTGTCGGTTAAAGGATCTATCCTCTGCAGCCAATTAAACAAAACAATTTAGTTTATCTAATACCCTGCTGGAATGATTATCAGGTAAAAAAAAACATAGGTCAAAGTAGTAGAACGGCGTCAGTCAGTAAGACTAACCGAGTATAAAAACCTAACAGCAAAATCTAGATTATTTGACCAAGAAACCTAGAGAATAGTTCAGCTATAGCACTCACTGCATGCAATTACACATAACCAACCTTACAATAGGATGGGATAGGATGACATTTTTAAAATCTAATGTCACAGGATGAATGTAGGCAGAGATTGATAACGGAAGCTTTATTCATCGAATCAACTGAGAATATATGTAATAGGAACGATTCAACACCTGTCCACCCGTATATCTGGAAAATTATACTACCCCTACGACGACGAATAGGAGAGGACAAAGAAAACCATTAACTGAAGTTTCAAAATCGTGTGATTATAACTGATATGATTACGAACAATAATAAGTTGTGTTCGAATCCTTGTCGTCCAGTAAATAATAATACTGTTTCGGTGACTGTGTGATACATCTAATAAACAAACTAATATGGAATTACTGACTACCACAGTGCCCAACTTTTGCACATATATTTATTATATATATGACATGCAGCCTGTCAAGATGATTTCATTGATAAAGAAAATTTTCTTTGCTGAATTCTTCTTTTATTTTCTTCATTAAACAAAATAGCGTTTTTTTTTCAATACTTATTTTACAGTGTTAACTAACTTGAAATGTCAAGTAGACAGTGATTGTGTCCATGTGATCAATAGTGCTTGCCATCCTGGTGCAGGATATTGTGCTTGTCCAGGTGGAACAATATATGTGCCTCAGGATCATGCCTGTCGTAAGTAAACATTTAATGAATTAATGAATTTCTCTACATTTTCCAAAGAATTTTTAACTGGTTTTGTAACTAGCAAAATCGAATTCTTCTTTTCTGTTTTCTTTTTTTTGTCCAAGCCTTTCATTCATAAAAGTATAAGTTGGCGACGTCGCTGTGTTTTGCTAACTGGCAGAAGTTAGAATTAATGAGTCATAGGATTCTCCGCCGCCCTTCCCAGTTTCGCCAGCGACTGAATCGTCTATTGGCTCAGCACGTGACCTACCAAATCTTGGGTTTGACTCCTGTCTGTGGGTTGATGGATGCATAATGCTGAAATATCCCGAACTAGCAATGAATCAGTAGTTCGGTACTGCAATTCTGGTCTTTCAATAGTCTCCTAATTGATAGCGGTCTGTTATCTCATTAGAATTAGAGGAATCGGCCATTTTTCCTTCCTTTGGTGGAAGATCATTTGGTTTTTCTCAAAGCAGAGAGTAAAGTTCAATTTCTAGTCAACTCTATCGATTTAAACAACAGGAATATTGGGCATTACTCATGTCTTCTTTGACTATACGCCATAATTATCTATGTATGATTAGATTAAGCAATAAATTTTATCCATAAAGAAAATAAATAACGAAATTCAATTAATGAACTGCCTCCACTTAATGGGCAGAGGGGGGGGCGCAATATTCCTGTTGTTTTTTTGTGTATGTTTTCAATGATAATTCATTATGTTGCCGTTGTGTGATTTAATGCATGAAATTCTAGTTATCCAAGAGAGAAAAGTTGAGTGAGCGTAATCTGTTCACGTGGAATATGACAAATAAGAATTGATGCGTTCAAAGTAGCCTGAATTGCATTAATTAGGCTGTTAACTAGTCACTTTAACATCTTAGATAAAATCTCTTTTAGTTCCTGGAGGAACATAAGGCTCCAGCCGTACATCTTCACTGCGTTGGGTTCTACGCCAGTGTTTGCACCTGGCTCCACGTTTGCCAACATGCTTTCATCTCCTCTTCGCATGATCTCCTCCATGACACCCTCACAATGACGACCAACTAACTCACCTATTCGGGTTTCACTCGAGGGAGAGAGAGAGAGAGAGCCTGACGTGTGATGTCACTCATCTGATGGTTTCGTTTCTCAGAGTATGGCGTTCAATCCACCTCCACTTCTTTCTGCTTATTTGTTGAACAATTTATTGCGTAGATTACACCCTCCCCCCCCTTTAGTAAGTAAGAAATGGGCGTATATCAGTTCAGATTCCAAATAATCAGTAATAGGTAATTTTGGATGGTAAATGAAGTTGACAAAGTAGGAGTGACTTAAAAATTCTCATTGAATCATTGGAAAAGAAAAAATAGACGTTTAGCGAAGAGTTACTCTTTTCAGAGATATACTGATTGATTTCAACTTAGAATTTCGCAGAGATGTGCAGCAGTTCGAATTGCTTCTCTTCCTTTATATAGCACAGAAAGAAAGAGGAGAGAGTAAGGAGTGATTTCGAAACAGAGGTGATAAATAGAAATATGAGGCAAAATAATAGTAATATGGGAGAACAACAGAGTTTATTGGATTTGACAATTCACAAGACGCGCTGTCACTGACAACGGTAATTTTCAGTCATACCACCAGTTGTCTACAGACATTAGTTTCCACTATCCTGAGGACTCCAAACAGCCAGGCAGTTTACACCTCCCTAAGTGGTTTAAACCGACTTTTGTGGATTTATTTCATTGACTGATGAAGATATATTTTTGTTTGACCACCGCTGGCACTTTCCCAACCTGATCGATCCTATGTCAGCTAACATTGCCTCGTTGTCGAGGTAGGAGATGACTAGGCATGCGTAGCACATGCTCTAAACATCTCAATCGATGTAAATTTACAGCCTCGTCGATTGATTTGCCCTCCAACTCACTGATCACTCGGATAAGGCTTAGACTCAACATTGCTCACCGTATTACACCACTTCACACGGGAGACAGAATGCAGACACCTATGATCAAAGACAGCTAACCTTTTAATGATTATGTCTCAGCCATAAATGAGGATAGAGAGAACTACTTAGCAGTAAACACGCTTTGTGGTTGACAGCCGACTAGATATCACATCTATTCAGCCAGAGAGATGGTGTAATTTGACCTATGCCAAACGAGCCTTCTGTATCCGTGTTGAGCTTTCGTCAGCAATCAACAAGCTGGTTCTGAATTCTTAGGCTGTAAAAACATGCATATGTATACTAAATTGGTAGTGTTATATTGAATAATCCTAATCGATTTATCTTAGCACATTAAAATACTAACTCAGTTAATCATCTGTAAACAGTGAATAATAGTTATGTTAACAGTATTACGCAGATTTATTCTTCATTCATAGAAGCCTTAAAAATGAGTAGAAATTATCTGCTGTGGGGAATTGTGCATTTGTTTTTGCCTACATTATTCATGTGCCGCTAGCTCTTATGCTAAAGTGAGTGAATTTTATCAACGTATTTATAGTAGCTTATGAAGGGAACATCGTTGAATGAAAAATAACGCTGAAGCCAGACGTTATAATTAGATATATAAATGAACTCATGGGTGATTACATTTATCAGGATGCAGATATGTGTCTAACAGATTTTAGACCGATTTTCTAGAGTAAGGACAATGGCTCTACTCTTAAACTTACCCTTTTATTTTCACAGCTCAAAACCGGCTGATAAACTAGACATGGTCAACTAACCGCAATAGGGAATGGCTTGGGCATCCATGGTTGACACAGAGGAGAGGAAATATCACAGAATTTTCGTGATGTCAATGTTAAACACGATAGTAGTATTAGTGTGGCGAGAGCTGTCAGCAAGCCAAAATTATAATAAAACAACAATTTACGTCAAAGTTGACGTTTCGAATTAGGGTCACGAGAAAAAGTAATAACAAAACTTAAATTTGAGGAACTCACCAACCAATGACAGCAGACTTAACGTGTGCAAATGTGATTCGCAGATATATATGACTTATTTATTGAATTGAATTTTTGCTTTTCCTGTCGATTGATTGGACCGAAGTACTCGGTCTCAGGTTGACATGTCGGCTTCTTGTGCAGATGCTTCGACGATGTCTGGGTATTTAATTGGTGTACAATTGGTGGATGGTGGCTAGCAGTGGAATCCAAGATGCGCATTTCGTCCTATTTAAGACTCGTCAGCTGGATGTACCTGCATTTCTCAGTGAGTGATGATGTTCCTACCGAGGCTCGAACCCAGTACCCATAGTTTCAAACGCCAAAGCGTTATCCACTAGACCACTTGGGCCACGAGAGCCACCTCTTGTGCGACGGATCATATTAATTATTGAATTGAATTTTTGATTTTCCCGTCGATTGATTGGACCGAAGTGCTCGGTCTCAGGTTTCAGGTCTCAGGTCTCAGCCGACATATCAACCTGGGACCGAGCACTTCAGTCCAATCAATCGACGGGAAAATCAAAAATTCAATTCAATAATTAATATGATCCGTCGCACAAGAGGTGACTCTCGTGGCCCAAGTGGTCTAGTGGATAACGCTTTGGCGTTTGAAACTATGGGTACTGGGTTCGAGCCTCGGTAGGAACATCATCACTCACTGAGAAATGCAGGTACATCCAGCTGACGAGTCCCAATTAGGACGAAATGCGCATCCTGAATTCCACTGCTAGCCACCATCCACCAATTATATATGGCTTAACTTTCTAAGAAACGGCCACAAAGGGATAACGTAATTACCTTCAGTAAGAAAACAACCAATCAGAAGACGTTGCTTCTCCGCTGACAATAATGTACAAAAAAACCTATAAATATCTCTCGATTTTCTCAATAAACGACCTGTTGCCTGGCCCTTGTCTCCTGTGATTACAGTGATAGTTAATTCAAAATAATCTCATTCGGAACACACTATTCGTTTATTTCTTCGAATAGTGAAGTGCTTTGTCTGCTTATCAAGGAGAATTCTGATGGGTTGATCTGGTGTCATTATCCATTTACACCGAAACCATATGGCAATGTTAAGTTTAACGTTTTTGCTTTTGTAGATAAGCCAACGGGTGTGCATACGATTATTGAAATGATTCTAATTACAGTCACGAAAACATATCTTTTGAAAACAATAGGATCCTTCATACATTCATTCCCCTATTATAAATTTGAATAAAGCAAGAACAAAAACAATGGTTTGTGCAGAATAATATGGTACCATCTTTGTTTATTTCGCTTGCTTCTAACCACCTGCTTACAGTCAAAAGACACTGATAAACTTATGTTCAGAAACAATTTCAACATACCCAAACAGACAGTTCATTTTTAAACTGAAAATCATTATATGCGTACAATGGTAGTAATAATAATAACAGTAATAATCTTTTTATCCCAAACTATAATAATAATCACACACACACAATGGAATTTATGGCGTTACATAATCAGACAAAAGACAGGAAGAAAACATCCACTCACCATGTAGGAGAGAAAAGACTGATTACCGACTCTTTTTGAACACAAAAATCGGGTTTCAGGCAATCGATGGTGAAGATTGCTTCGGCATACTTGGGAAGGAGCAGTGAACTCGTTTCCCTATGGACAGTTTTGAAGTATCTTGCGATGTCCGCCTCATGACCTGTGTCAGAGAGATGCCTAGCAATGACACTGTTGACAGCACCTGTTCCCTTGAGACGTAGGCGTTTAGATACGTGTTCAGAAAGTTGGAGATATGCCCTTCAGCTTTCTGTTCTCCCAATAAAACTGCTCCCTCAGATACATGTAAATTTCTATACACAGTTGGCGTTGTTAACATAAGAAGGGTATATGTAGACCTTTATTTGACTGCACCAAAGATGAGCATGTTGTCCAATGTATGGGAAAAAACTTAGTCGTAAGATAGGCTCCGGTTAGTGACATACTCAATCTACCTTATTTTTAACCTGTGAAATGGAGTTCAATAAAGATAGGATTTTTTGAGTCATATGAAAAATCGACTGTCGCTCTCATTTAAGAAGACCTTC